GCCTGGAGGCCCCAGAGAGGATTGCATGAACGTTCTATTAACATTTTGGGAGCTTGGCTTTACGAGCATTTTATTCGAGAGTGCCGACATGCTACTGGTGTATTTGTATGTGTGTTTATGCCTTTTGTCTATTTCTATGTCTCTATGTTATTTTCTTAGTACGTAAAAATGTGTATCCAATATTATTATGATGTTCTTGAATTTGTTTTATCTATACTCTTGAAGGCACTTGCTTGGAGAAGATCTTGTAATGAAATTATCAATTTTTATGCAATTTCAAAATTTGTTCACAAAGTGTCATTTTCAATTATGTCGGTTAATTACCATATATAACTGTATTAAAAAAAAAAGGGTCTACGGCAACGTTAGAAAAACGTTGCAAAAGAGTCTACGGCAACGTTGAAAAAAACGCGGCAAAAAGCTCTACCACAATGCAGAAAAAACATTGCAAAATGGTCTACCGCAATGTTTAAAAAAACGCTGCAAAAGGATCTAACGCAATGCTAAAAAAATGTTGCAAAATGGTCTACGGCAACGTTTAAAAAACGCTGCAAAAAGGGTTTTTGCAACGGTGAATAAACGCTGCAAAAGTCTTCATTCAACGGCAACACCGACCTCCGTAACACATGCTAAAACGCTGCAAAAGGTCTACCGCAGCGTTTTTTGACTGCTGCAAAAGGTCTTTTTTTTGGTGTTGTGTTCCAAATAGTATGTAATATAGCATAAAAATCCAACAAATGGCCTTGACAAAATTAATTAACTTAATAACCCAAATATCTCATCACATTATTTTGCTATAGGACAACCATGACATTCATTACTCCCTATTCACCATATCATGTTATCATCGTGTAACCTTGTCAAGTATCGTCATATCATATGACCTAAAACGTGTTTGGTGGGGATTAAAATTAGATTTTTAATAGATTATGATAGAAGTTTTTGAAATGTGTGTTTAAAAAGTTGTGGGACTCATTAAAGATGTGGTTAATATTGATTGTTGATAACTCTCATATTTATCACTTGAATCTTTCACACGTCAATATACTGCCAATATTTCATATGTTAATTTTCCAAACTCAATAAATTCCATCTCTACCATTCGCTACTCCCCCTTTTTTTTCTCTCGATTCACATAAACACACCTGAACGTACATATCAATTTAATTCTATTTCTTAAGCAACAAATTACCCCATAATAAGTAATCATGATGAAGTCTATCCCTATTTTTTCACATCCCATATAATCAAAACTCATAAATAATTGAAATAATTGGAATCACCCAAATGTTAATTTCCTCGATGCCAAAGATACATAATAACGCATTGTTATCTATCTATCAATCAACAAATCACCATTTTGTCTTCCACAATTTCTTATGATATGGCATAGTATATACAATCATGATTTCTATCATCGTCCCATATAAATGGTGACAAATCACCACAAAATTTTGATAACACTAATGACCATTTGGCTTCCCAAGATAATTAAAATTCCTCACTGATTGTCACTAATTACACAGATAATATCATTCCCTTATATTTATCGTGCAAGATATAACTAGAAATTTTTCTATGTATACATTAAAAATCACGAAAGTCTACATAAAAAGTGGTACTTTAAGTGATTGTACCATCTATCACTTCGAATGCCTATAACAACCTAAAAAACCATCAAAACTATCACTTTAAATTAATAATATGTTCAACCCAACAACTAATAACATTTTCAACCACACAACATTGCAACTACCATACTTACATTCTAGCCATTTATGAATTTGCTAAAAATATTCTTCTATCATTTAGGTTCCATACATCCTAGTAACTAGAGTTTGGGAGCCTATGATTTTTGCCACCACGTCGTGTAACCAAACACACTAAATATGCATGATATGCTAATGCATGAACTATGAAAACTTTTAAAACGTTATAAACCATGCTCTGACTTGACACGACCCATCCCGAATCACCCTAATGGACTCGAAACGTGACATGTGCAATGGTAGATGCATACTAGATGCTAGATCCACCACCAAGGCTGACTATGAGTTACTAGTAATTATGTCCCAAAATAAAAAAAAAATGAAAAATATCATGCAATGGGCCTAAAATAATTACTTCGTGCTGTACCAAAATGAATCATATAACTCAATATGTCATGAGGATGTAACTCTGAAATCATCAAGCTCCTCAAGCTATCAAGAACGAATTGCTACCTGTAAGAAAAATTGTGAAAAAATATATGAGTTGATAGCTCAGTGAGTGTAAAATTTTAAAAATCGTTATACTTTCTCATTTGTACAATTTTATCGAAAATCGAGTTCATATCATTTAATAATTCATAGGAGAACACCATATGATTATAGCCAAGAAGTGAGACATTCTCATAACACTGCAACATATCATCCTATAGTCATGACATAAACATCAGATATAATCTCATCAAATCAAATGTACTGAAAAATCCACCAAAAATGTACTCTCTAACTAACATATGTAATCTGGTCATATGCGTCTAGACTTCTCCTCAGGCTAAGCACTCCCGACATGGGCCTCAGGACCTCTCAGTGAACGAAAACGGATCTCAAAGACCTCTCATAATCAATTCAAGAACACGGTCAATGTCCTTCAGTGAACTATATGTACACCGTCAAGACCCCTTCCTACACGGCCAAGGCCCCTTAGTGAACTAGAAGAAGTATATAATCTTGGATATTTTTATGGTCGATCACAATATCATATGTATTACATTCCAATTCTCAAACACTTCATATATAATATTTGAAATTTCACATATAACATAGTGAAAGAACCTTCATAATAATCATGTAATTGCGCAAATAATTCACATAATTGCACATAATATAAGAGTATAATTAATTTATCAATACTTGAAAATATCTACGTTTTTCCACTCACCATGTTGTAGACCGATCACGACTTCATCTTGTTACCTCCTCACATTCAAATACCAAGTACATATCCCTTCAGATAGGTGCCTCAAGTATTATTCCCACCATTAGAAGGATTTCCTAATAAGAACTTGGAGTCTTTTGTGTTCAATGTCATAATCCCAGTTAGGGTCACTGACACCATATACTCCTTTATATAAGTTATCTTAACACCTAGTCCAATATTAAACACTTTATTTGGTTTCCATANNNAATATTAAACACTTTATTTGGTTTCCATACTAAAATATCCAAGAAAATCAGATGATTGACAAAACTATTACTATATTTCCAAAATATTGAAATCTGGCACCAATGTCTATATATTGAAATCTGTCTCCAAACCCATTGACAAAAACAACAATTTTTGGGGAGAGTTTTAAAAATAGCACCTTGTAGAAATCTGCCGAAATTGGGAAAGAATGAGGTAGAATAAGTAAAATTAAGCCTACATTCCTTGTCCAACTCTGATAAATCATAATCATGAGTTTAATATCATATAAACATAAGGAAATTAAAGAATAAGTCTCTATCTCACAAATTTATTACCAAAGTTTTACTTTATTCAACACCAATTTCTCAATATACATCTCTTTAATATGTTCTTGTTTAATACCCCAATACATGTCAATAACCTCTAATTCTTGCTAAGCCTCGAAATTTTTCCATAAACCCTAAAAATTCAATTAACATAACTTTTTACTTGCCTCTTGAAAATAAGAAGGAATTGGAGGGATGAACCCAAGCTTGAAAATTCCTTTCCTTCCCTTCCTCTCTTTTCTCGATTCTACTCTACCTCGGTTTTCTCTTTCATTTTGTCCCCCAAAAATGAGAAAATGGATTGATATGTCTAAAGTCAAGTCCCCCAATCTTCATATAACATAACATTTAGTCCTTAATCTTCCAATAATAGAAACTAAATCCCTAGATTCCTTTATTATTTCATTTTTGCCCTCAAGTATATGTAATTACAATTTAAGTCACATGGAAACCATTTATTCAACTTTAGTCCTTATTTGACTTTGGTTAGTGGAATTACTTGACTTTAACTATAAATGAACGGGTTGTAATAATAACTATCTAAGAGTCGGTGGTTAATCTTTAACGTTCGATAATGGAATTGGTCATTCAACTTGATGTTATTGTAGTGCTTTATATGAAGACGTCATATTTTGGTGGTGTTGGGTGTTGTTTTACCAAGAGTCATCGATACGACATCGTTCTGGTATGTTAATAATCGTATGAAGATTGTGAATTATCAATAGAAAAACTGATGCTCTTAGATAGTAAGAGATTAAATTTATATTCCATTCCGTTAAGTTGATATTGAATTAATTGGCTAAGGTAAGTGTGTAAGTTGAAAAGAGTTTTGATTATCATTGGCTTAAGAGTGGAATACAAGATAAGATTGATAATTGAGATTCACAAAATTTCATATCTCACAATTGATCGAATCATATTGACGAAGAGATTATAATTTCATGGTAAACGAACAAATTTGATTTCATTACACCATGTAATATTTTTCATCACATGTAATGCCCTTACATATTGCGGAGTGATGAAAGTGAATTAATTAATTTAGGTAAATCAATGATAAATTAAAAGGGAATATTATTTATCTTATTTTGATTATATCAAAATAATAATTTATGTCGTTCAATATTGTGATCGGGAATCTAATGAGTTTCACATAAAAAGGGAGAACTAGAAGAATGATATTTTAAATTAAATCATTGATAAAAGTTGGACTTCTGTAGAATTGATTAATTTGGATTGTTTATTAATTGACTTTAGTTAATTAATTAGATTAATTAACTCATAGTCCATGTATAATTAGTTAGATTAATTAAATATTTGTCTAGCTAATGTTTAATGGTGGGTCA